AAGTTAGTATTTCTTATCCACAGAATATGCGTTTCCTAGATATCTAGTTAGGTGCAGTGGAAACATCCCTACCCTGGAGTCAGGAGACAGGCACAGTCCCTGCCCCGCCACTAACTAGGTATAGGACTGTGGATAAGACATTTACTGTGGTTTTGGTTTCTTCTTCTGTATCATTAGAGACTGGAATTTAAAAAATCTAAAATTAAATTCTAAAAAGAATTAAAAGGAGTCTCCAGTCCTCCTTTAGGACTGAGTTTTAAATTTCATTTTTATATTTATTACTTTCAAAATTTTAAAAATTTCCTTGTAATCACACATACACATTTTTATATAAATGAATAAAGGTAATCACATCCTGAGAGGCTTTTTGGTGTACTTTTCCCCCTTTATTTGACTCTTTCTCCTATTTTCCCTTCTACCTTTATATCATGTATGTATATGTGATTAAGATATATATGCATAGATATGCTTTTCTATAGAAAAATGGGCAAAGGCTAGTATTTGCACAATTCACTTTTTTCCATTTACTTATTTTCTACCTATTGGAGCTTGGTTCTATTTTCCTGGGAGATTTCTTTAACCCTACTATGAGATGTTTTTATTTTAGCAATCACTTTTTAAAAAAACTTCCTAGACTTTGTTTTTGTTTCGAGATGCATCCTTTCTCATAACATTATGTTGTTTTATAGTAACAGGTCTCTAATTTTTTTAATATTTTTATTAGAGCTTTTAAAATATAGCTTTTATTTATTTCCTGAATTAGCTATGATTTGGGACACTTTTTTTCTTGTCTGGGTCTTCTCTTTCATCTAAAATTTTTTCCCCTAACGTTTGATAATCCTTGCCTCTCTATAGTTTAAGGAATGCAGCAGTAGACAAGTCACAATCTTTGCGTACATGGGTGGGTCTCGTGTGACAGTTTACTCCAGAGTGACTGATTGTTTAGGAGTCCTCTAAGTGCTAGAATGTGGAGGGTTTTCATCTCAGACAACACCTACAATGTTCTAGTTACTCTTACGTGCTCTGTTCATTTCCTTTTTTTCCTTGCGAGGGAAATACCTAGCAGCTGCCAGACATACTTCCTGCTGCTGGTATCAGTAATAGTAGTGGATGGAGCAGGCCTGGACTATTCACTGTAGTAGACTTTCAATTAATGCCCTGGTTTCAGGCCTCTATTCTGCCTGGCTCTCCAGGTTGAGCTGCTTCTGAGCAAATCAATAACTCCCCTCAACTCAGCCCTCTGCTCCTCTTCATTAAATACTATTCTTCTAACAACTTTCTGAAACCTGTTGGAATTTCTCATCTGGTGATGGTCTCCTCAAAATTCTGTTCATTGTTGAGGATTTTACATCCTTCAAAACAAAATCCCTTTAATATAATTTTAATGTGACTGAGGGGCAGGAGACACAAATATAAGAGTGTACTTAATTCCTGTCTTGAATCAAGACAGTCACTGTGCCTTGGTGAATAGGACCACTTTTCTCACTTGTAAGAATTACCTAGCTAATTCTCTTGGATGTTCCAGATATACAATTATATGATACATCCCATGATGTTAAGTAATGGCTCAGCAGAGACCTTGTCTTCTTGATTTTAGTCAAGTTCAGGGATTTCAGCAGGACATCTCACCACTGATTTTTTTTTTCTTTTTAGGAATTTTGGGTAGGAAAGGAAGAGAAATTTTAGGAAGCTACACTTTTGATACCTTCTTTCCCAGAAATCCCTCTATTCTTTAAACATCACTCCGGTATCTTTTTCATCTCTAGTGTGGGCAGCGTAGTGTACTTGGATTTAGTTGGGTCGTGCTCTTTTTCTCAACTTCCTCCAAAACACTTCCAGTTCCTAACAAAATGCAAAATTTCACTGAGATCTTTTAATTGTAATAAGCAACAGGTGAGAACATCACACAAGAGACCCTGGCTTTCAGTCTCCCTCAACGCCTCTCTGTTGTTCACTGTCATATCCTCCTCCTCCTCCTCAGACTTTTAGTCATCTGCCTAGAATGTCGCCTGTGGGAATCTCATTCACTCTCCTGACTGCCAACAGCACCTGTATTCTGGAACTCCCAAATCTACTTCCTGTCCCAATCTCTTATCTAAACTCCAGTCCCATACATCTTACCGCTTCAGTTTTATTTTCCTCAACTCAGATTAACCAAATTTTGCTAAAATCATCAGCTTTTCCTTAAGGGGAACTATGCATAACTATGGAACCTGCTGTGAAAACTCATTTCACGTAGATAAACAAACCATGATTCAAGAACTCATTTTATTGCTGTCAACTTCAAGATAAATGTCAAAACCAGATCCAACATTATACCAGGGCTGCAACAAAATTCTCTAGGTCAAACCCCCAGTTTATATTATGAAAAGAAGAAAAGTAGAATGGACATTTAACAGTCACCCCACACTTTTAGTTTTGAGAACAGTACTGGAGGGATCTCCTGCTGCCGAAATTCAAGCTGGGAATTCAGTTAGCTTAGCATCAGGGGGAAAATTTCCTCTTAGGTTGTTCTTCCTTAAGGAAGAACAAATACCTCTTTTTATCAATGGATAGGAAATATAACTGGTGGTGTTTTAAACGAGAGAAGCCTTTGTGTTTTCTCGTATTTCTAACCTGTACTACGTTCTTGCTCCAAAAAGGGCCCGTTTCTAAAACTCGTCTACCAGATTTCGCTGTTGGCTGCGGCGGCTGTGGATTACCGGACAACATCAACTCCACTTAAAACTCTGGATGCCGTGCTCTGCCTCAACTCCAGTCAGCCTCGATCATTGCAAACAGTTGGCTGAGCCTTTTCTTAACGTCAGGCTCACTAGGGGTGCGACAGGATTTTGTATGCACTCTGATGTGTTCGGCAAGTTTCGACTTGTAAATGAAGCCCTTGCCACAGTCTGCGCAGGAGAACGGCCTCTCGGGCCTGTGGATGCGCTGGTGCCGCAGCATGTGTCCCCTTTCCCGGAAGCTTTTACCGCACTCGGGGCAGCGGAAAGGCCTCTCCCCGGTGTGCAGGCCTTGGTGGCTGAGCAGCTGTGCCTTCAGGCGGAAACTCTTGTCGCATTTGGGGCACTGGAAAGGCTTCTCGCCCGTGTGCGTCCGGACGTGCTCCACGAGTTTGGACTGCTTGGCGAAGCCTTTGCCGCATTCGCAGGAGAACGGCATCTGGCCGCCGTGCAGCAGGCGGTGCGCCTTCATGTCGGCCTTCACGCGGTAGCGCTTGCCGCAGTCGGGGCACGGGAAGGGCCGCTCGCCTGTATGCAGGCGCTGGTGGCTCCGCAGCTGCCCCTTGAGGCGGAAGCGGCGGCCGCAGTCGGGGCAGCCGAAAGGCCTCTCGCCGCTGTGCACGCGGAAGTGCTCGGCCAGCTTGGACGGCCGCGTGAAGCCCTTGCCGCATTCCCCGCACTGGAAGGGCCGCTCCCGGCTGTGCGTGCGCTGGTGCGCCTTGAGGATGCCCTTCAGGCGGAAACTCTTGCCGCACTCGGGGCAGCG